ATTTAATTAGTTTTATTATATTAATTTTACTGATATTGTATTTTAAGTCCTTCCAATCTATCAACGCATAAACGGGTTAAGCATATCCTCATCACTTCGGATACGAACATTTGTCACTGTCTCGAATATGGCTCTTACTGTTTTCCATCCTAAAAAGGGGTGACGTGCGTCGTTTGTCCAATTTGTTACGCAATCAAACCGTCGCCTGGACTCCTCTGGAAAACGTGCATGTCGTGAACCAAGTCCACGTCCAAGTCCAGGTCTTTTAGCTGGTAATTGGTTTGTCATTATAGCAAAAACGAGGGAAAGGAAAGTGCATTGAACTTGGGTTTGAAAAAGACGATGAGAGAGATTTATAGGCAGAGGGAAGGATCAGCTGCTTTTTGATCTTGGCACGTTCTACGGGGAATCACAACCCTCCCTTTAAACCGTTGCACCTTTTCCTTTGACGATTTTTTCGAAGTAATTTATGGGACTAGAAAACAGCTGACGAGAGAAGAAACCTTTCTTTCCTGTTTATCATTTCTTTATTTCCGATTTCTCACCCGTAATTAAAGGAACAAGGACCTGAAACTCACACCCAAAGAACTATTTCCAGTTAGGTACCATTTTTCCCATGCCAGTGTCAAAGTTGAAGAAAAGATTTATGGAAAAACCAATTAAAAGGCCAGAACTATGATATCTCAAATGGGGGGCTTAGAAGACCATTTCCATACCGAACAGTATCTCTATGATGGTATGAGGGCGCTCATTTCGTTCTTTTGTTGCCCAGAAAATTACTAAAAGTCAGCAAGTACAAGGGGGTGTGTGTTGACCGGACTCGGATGCCATTTTACGACACCAACAAAAAGCACAAAACTCAATGATTTTATGATACTTTATCACCAAACTTAATCCAGTTGAGATGAGGGAGAATTAGAAGTGACATTATACAAGAAGAGGGGGGAGTCAGTGAAGTACGCCAGCCAACTTATGAGGGCTACATATTTGGAAAGAATGATTCAATCAGTGCTGCAGTTTATGAAAATTTATATTGGTATATGATGTAATTGAATATTGATTTCAAAGGGTTAAAACTCAATTGCCGCGTTGATGTAATTGCATTGTTACACCAGAAGATATGGGGGTTACATAAAGTCAATCAAGGAATATTGTGGTTTTTAGAAAATAATATAAATTAATGTTTTTTGATAAATCTTTGAAATCTTTAAATAAATATATTTAAAATCATTTCAACTATATATTTATTTAAAAATACTATGATATGTTCAATACCTAAGAGACCACCCGCAGCATTTCAGTTTCGGTGTAAGAATCTTAATCAAATTAACCACGGGGCCACAAAAATCTGTGTACACATTATTAACTTCATTGGCCTTTGTTGCTATTGGAAACTAATTTTTCTCCATTAAGTTTTCTTCAAATTGAGTTTGATGAACCTAACTCGATTCCTATTGCTCTCATAGTTTTAATTTCCTTAATCACTTATTGTTATTTAATCCTTTGGCCAGGACTCTATCCGCATCCTGGACAGATGTTTGTCTAGCTCCAGTGTTCCCTATTAATGCCTTGTTCGCGGGATTAATGGGAGGGCATAAGGCAGAGGGTGGGTGGTGACGTTAGGGGAGAGCATGTGTGCTGATTTTTGCACTATGGTGGGTCTTAAGCCGTATTAATTTTCAATAAGTGCATTGAGGTCTATGAAATGTTTGATAAATGGCGCAGCGGGTTGATCCAGAATGTTGATAAGGGGACGAGGGTCAGTCTTTTGCCGTTCCACATTCAGAACACGTTCCATTCAGGAAAAGCAACGTGACAAGGAAAATTTAACCGCAAATTTATTAATCCTTAAGTTGGATAAGCTATGACATTCCATTTTTCAAAGGATATTTTCCAGCGAATTAACTTTTTTGTGAAATTAAATAGAATGTTCATGGGTATACAAATTAAACTTGTAAGTGTTAGTGTATATATTTATGTTGTCTTACGCTGCTGATTTTCAGAACTATAAAACCTAAGGACAAAATCAGAAAATTTTTTTTGATATTTTATTAATAAGGTATTTGTTTTTTCATGCACTTCAATGATTTTGTTAAAAATTGAACTATTTATACATTTTTAATAAATTCTTTAATCTTTAAGATAATAACATTATTTGTAATTTATTTGTAAACTTTAAATTACAAACCCCAAAAGTATGCCACGAAAAACCAACTTATTTTACCCAATACACAAACCGCGCCAACCGCTTAACCAATAATGAATCGGTTATACCGTTTCTTTTGAACAAAGATTCACACCACTAACTTAAGTAAGGCAAATTAGTTGTAAATTAAAACTTATAAATGTAATCTCTCTAAAAATCTATTCCACGTCTCAGCAAGGAATAAATTAACGAAAATGCGTAATATCTGTATTAAATATTTAAACGCTATCTGCAATTAATCTTCGTGGAGGTCGTGATCTTTATTTATTCTGGATTTATTTATATTACTCACGCTCTGACCTTTTCAAGAGAATAAAACCACGTGCATAAATCACATGTTTCAATTTCGCGAAGTTCGTGCAACTGAACTAACTTTGACTGATGCAATGCCTTGTAAAATTTCATCAGAGCAAACACAACGGAAAAAGTTGAAAAACTGTTGAGAACATCCAACTCCAGAATGTTTTCCCACTTTGTTTGTTTGGCTTTTTACTTTGTTTTTTGCTTTTTTGCTGTTTGCCAAGTTGGTTTTTACAACATGGTCGTATGATGATTGTGTTTTTTGGGGTTTCTATAAAATGGAAGGTAAAGGGAGATCTCAAAAATTGAAACGGATCTTTTTTTCGTTCTATTGATTGATTTTCTCTAGGTTTCGACTGCCCATTAGGTCCCATTAATCATAAATAACTCATAAAACAACTTTTGGCAGCTTGTCGTAATTTGCTGGGAATGATATAAACTCTAAAAGTGGTTTCTATTCAGTTCCGGCTAAAGTTCAAATTTTTATGAAATAGAATAGTTGGTTCTGGTGATCATTCTTCAATGAAATTGGTTAAACAAGCAAGAGAAAATTTATTGACTAATTTACATTGATTTAATACTTTTAATTTATATTTTCCAAAAATTAAAACAAAATAAATTTATTTTCTACTTCATTATTTAAACAAGTATAATTAACTGGACAATTCTAGAATGATTAATGCTTATCAAAAGTCAGCATACAAAAAATTTAAAGTCATCTTCTGTTAATTTCAGCTAGAATATTTTACACTTCTTTTTTAAATAGCGAAACTTAAAATTATTTATATTATTTACAAATATTCCAAAGGTCAAATATACAATTTTACAATGTAGTTTGAGAACTAATTTATAATTTTTCGATTTAGTGCTAAACTTTTAGTTTCCTGCATGCCCTTCTACTAATAACTAATAAGAACTTTTGATTTTTTCTATGGGGTTTCATAACTTTGTCCGAATCAGAGCATATTAAGCATGCTCCAACTGAATAATTCATATTGCTTTTCAAACCTCTTGTCTATTCTTTTGTATGTAAGTATGTAGCTTGAATATTCGAGCCCTTAGTTCTATTCAAGATTCAAGCTTTTGTTGCCAGCTCCAGACGCTGTGTTGATGAATTATGAATATGCCCGGAGTCGTCGTCGGCTCGTGACTCAAACAGGTGCAACATCAAACTGGGAGCACGCCAGGTAGGTCGAGACCAGACTCTAGACGAGCCCCTCCCTCTAGAAGTGAGCCTCCTGTCCCCTGCTCCGCCTTTCACCTCCTGACATTGGCATTTAAATGTTTCCTACAAAAGCGAAAATTGCTTAATTTATTCAACAGTTTTCGTGTGACTTGAGCAAACTGAAACAATAAATCCAGCTAATGCATAATAAAATAAGTGTAAATAAAAACAGCATTACCAAAATGAAAGGTAACTGGTTTTCTGGAGGGAGAACAAACACGCGAATCTGTATATATACTATATATATCTATGCAACAAAGTACATGAGATCCCGTATCGCTTTCGATTCCGTTTCGAAAGTTTCTTGACTGGAACTAAGGCCAAGCGGATGTTGTGATCATGCCAAGAATATGCCTTCATATGCATAAGCGAATGATTTAATCAGAGTCATTAGCACAGGGATATTAATATTCCAATTCATGCTGGACCAATGTCCAGACAGACAGACAAACTCCCCCCTACAATTAGACCTCAGGTCGACCTCATCGCGATGATATAACAACAACCGTACATGAGGGCTTATTGTGCCGCAAAAGATCACAGATCATTGGATCTTTTGTGTTAGTTTTCTGTTTGATTTACTTGCGGAAATGCTAGGAGACAGCTCAAGGCATTTACTTCATGTAAATGTCACTTTGGATCGAACTAGATGGTCTAGACTAGAGGGAAACCTAAAAGAGGGCTGCATTAACATCTGAATGAACTTTGCGGTGAATGGGAGTTCTCGGCTTCCTATAGAGAACCTCTCAAGGTTTCTAGATCAACTCGAACGCACTTATATGACTGATCTATATAAATATGGTCAAAATGTATGGCTTATTTGGCTTATTTTCTTTCATTTGTTTACGAGGTTTTGGGTTAACTGTTGAATGGTAAAAATATAGATTGATATCTTTAACTTCCGATTTGTGTTCCTTGGCAATTCTTTTGTTGTAGTAAAACCCCTCAATGTCTGATATTAATCTGTCGCAAAAGTAAAAGTTTCAAGGTTATTAATTCTTTAAAAGTGTTTGTTTAAAATATTAATCGATTAATACAAAGGGGGATTTGTTTGTCATTGGTTCAGAGTTGAAGCAGGAAAGGAATAAAGATAATTGCTGAGTTCAAAGAACTATTATATTCCCAAATACTACTTTAATTATCAACTAATTAAGTTATTTTTAGCTTTTTCTCAACTAAAATTTAGATTGTTTTTAATAACTTCAATTTAATTTGTTTTTAAACACACAAACCCGTTTGTCATTTCCCAGTCATTCTAGAAACTTGTTCTTAATATCACAAAAAAGTTTTATTCAGTTTCGAGTCTTTAAGCCTAAGTACAAATTAAAACATCTATACGTAATACATTACTTTAAAGGTTAGACAAACTTAGGGCTACGAGTAGCAATCAATACTTGTCATCGACAAGTTCAGTATGGCAAGGCTCTTCCTCTCAACTAATCATTTATCTCAAGAGAGCCAAGAGAAGAAGACCCATCAGGCTCCAACTAACAGCTCCACTAGCACCACTTGTCCTGGCCATCTGATCCTCAGCTGGCAACTGAGCCATGGCCACCAGTTGCTGTTCCTCATCTAGCTTCGGTCTGTAGCTCCAATCGATGGTGTTAGTCTTACACAAATTGGCAAAAACTCGTGCCGAAATCTTGGGAGTTCTCGTTCTTTCCGGCGAATTGAAGTCCACATGATAGAGCCCGAATTTCTCCGAGAAGCCAGCCTTCCACTCATAACTATCCATCAGACTCCAGGCGATGTAGCCACTAACATTTACACCATCCTCTATGGCATCCAGTACTGCTGACAGATACAAATTATAGTAATCCACACGAGCATAATCCTCGAGACCACCACGATCACTGACTCCGTTCTCCGTCACAATAATCTCGGGTGCATTGTACTCCCGGTGTATCCACATCAACAGATTGTACATTCCCTTGGGATAGACCTGCAAAAACCGAGAAGGAGAAAAGAGTTTGGGGTACAACCCCCTGTTAATAGAGTTCATTCACCTGTACGCCACCTGGGCGAAAGTCACCCTCTTTTGATTCCTTCGTAACTAGTTTACTCGGCAAACCATAATTCAAACCTTAAGTGGGGGATAAGTCAACCCTCAAGTTACCCTGAGTACTCCGGCCAAGTTAATTACACCACCTCGTCCTGGACGTGAGGGATTTCCCATCTCTCGTCCTAGGAGGGTGAGCCACAATCAATTTAGCCGACTAAGCGAAAGATAATTGGAGCCAAGGAGATGGAGGAAATATGCTTTTTGTGTAAAGTTGTGGGCAACACAAGGTGGATAATTTTCCTGACCTCTTAATTTAATTATTCTGTGTTCTAGGAAACTCTTTAAAGCCACAGCAAATTTTCAACAAATTCATGCAGAATGATAATATTAAACTAAGAAATAAGAGATTTATCTCTATCTTTGACGGTTTAGAAGGTTCACCAGATCATATCTTAACTTTTCCTTAAACATTTTCCATGTTTCGCTTTAAAACTCATTATCAAGAATCCTAAGACACCTTGACTACACCCCTTTCTTTCCTTAACACCCTACACACTCACCTTAAGCCAAACAGATCCTGAACCGGGCCAGTCGACGCCCTCCTGGCTCTCCACCACTCCCATATCATGATTGAATGAAGGAACTGGGAACTTGCCGGTGTTATTATGTCCATTGGAGGTGACCAGGTTGCTGGTGTACGAATTGATGCCAAAGAAATCAGAGGTGCCACGGATGCGATGAATCTCCTCAGTGGTAAACTCAGGCAGTCTAGATCGAACTCCGAATCCTTGCTCCTTACTCAGATTCCTAATTCGCTCGATCATCACCTTAGGGTAATTGCCGTGCTTGGAGAAGATAGGATGACCAAACCAGCCCACATAGAACTGCATGGCACGCTCGGAGGCCTCGCGATCCTCAGCGGAATTGGGATCCCTGGGCTCTGGCCAGGAAGTATCCAAAGTTATGCCAATGCGTCCACCTTGTCGCTGCTGGAAGAGTTCCCGGTACATGTGAACCACCTCGGCATGGGCCTTCAGCAAATTGTGACCACACAGATAGGCGGGAATGCCGGGATAATTGTAAGACGGAGCCATATAATCCACTCCATAACCATGCTCACACACATGCCACGGCTCATTGATGGTGGTCCAGATCTTCACCCGATCACCATACATTTCCAACACCAACCTAGCATAATCCTTGAACAGCGGTATGATTTCCGGATTGGTCCAACCGCCTAGCTCTTGCAGCTTTTGCGGCAATTCCCAGTGATAAATCGTCACCATCGGAGTGATATTGTACCGGAGCAGCTCGTCAATCAAGTTCGAGTAGTATTTAATGCCAGCCGTGCTGACGTGATTCATATAGCCACCGGGCATAATTCGGGGCCAAGACAAGGAGAAGCGGTAGGTTCCAGCGTGCAGTTCCTTGACCATTTGCACATCTCGTTTCCACTGAAAGGGATTAAGATTTTTTATAAAATAAGTTAATAAGTTTTATGTTAGTATTAGGTATAAAAAATAATAGTAACCTTAGTTGATACACGCTAAAAATTAAAGGAATAATGAAGTCGTGACTGGGAAGGAGTATTAAAAATTAGAAGTATAGTATTGCAGAAGTGCTTGCTTTATGACTCAGTTAATAAGCCTGAACACATATGTATATCTGTATACGGTTTCTTTTCACTTTAATAGCTTATTTTTTGTAATTACCATTTTACATTTACAAATTGAGTTGTTCTTTTATCTGTCAATCTAATGAAGTGTAAAAAATCCCCTGCAGCTTTAAGTGTTATTAAAGCTTAGTCTGACGTACTGACTGACGCCCATTCAAGTGATTTCACCGTTTTGAATTCATAACATTTTCCATTTAACGATCGTATCAATTCACTTAACCATTAAATGCCAAGACAGGCAGTCAAAATATTCAAAAACCAGTAAGAATCTAGTCATATATAATCCGCCTGTTCAGTTAGAACATAAAATCTAAACGAAACTTAGCAACCCAATTTAATAATTGATATAGACAAATCAAAGCAATCACATTAATGTCCAATTGCCATTTAAATTGAAATGTAGACAAATAAATAAAATGGCAAATGGTTAGTTTAAATGTCGGGAAACTAGACTGCAGCATTCTTGACTCGTTTGATTTGGTTTCCTTTGAAACGATGCCAAGAATGCCGGGCCAAATATCCGAAAAAACCCCAAATTGGGAAAGGAAAACCAGTTGGTTTGTTGCTCGGACATTGGCGACACATTCCACGCCCAATGGTCATTGTCACAGCTACTACTTGGCCCGGAGCTGTGACTTTGGCTTTGGATTTGGCTCACAGTGTTGCTAATTATGTGACTTTGAATTGAAAAACAATTTGAATCGCGATCGCCGAGCATTGAATATGAAAGGAAGGGGCGTTTAAGCTGTCTGTCCAACTATTTAATCCATTTATCAAATCGCCTGCCGCCGCTGACAACAACAACAACGACAATAGGCTGACAAAAATGTTGCAAACAAAAAAAACAAACACCTGATGCAAATGCAACAATTGGCACCTGTAACAGAATCGGTTAGCCTATTGATTGGCATTAGCAGGCAAATTATGACACAATTAATGTTTACTCCAACACAGTCGGCATTTTGCATCGATAAATCACAGCAACTATTTCAATGCGAATTCCTTCTCGAATAGTTATTAGTTATTAGGGAGAATCTTGCAAGGAGATCGAGATTTGCTATGTTAATATAAGGTTATCGTTAGTTCTAGAAATTATAGTTATTTGATTAATTTTATAATTATATAGCTCTAAATAAATAGTTAGATGGAAAAAGTTTTAGTAAAGATAATGGTCTTTCATCTAACATAGTTTTATTTTCTTTTTGCATTCTTTGTAAATGAATTATATTTTATGGATATTAATAAAAATATATAACCTTTCAGTCCACATACTTAAGTTCATTACCTTTTACTACATCAAACAGAGCAAAGCATTTATGTCTTCCCCATAACATAACCAAAAGCGTGTTCTCTTAACTTATCTACTCATATCAGTATCTTTGGAAAATGGGACAAATGCCTAATAAATAAAAAGCACTGATAAAATTCAGTAAAGATTCTTTTATCGGGTCGAACCAGATGGTTGTACAACTCTTTGACATTTTTTAACTGTATATCTAAAAAATTTCCATAAACTGCCTACTGTCTTCCTATTAAAATGCTCCTACAGTTCCGTTTCAGGTCCATAAGCAAGTCTCGCCCTAGTTTATCTGCCCTTTAAGTCGATTTATAGTTAGAAGATCATTAATTCAGCAGTGATCGAGAGTCATTAATCAACTGGACCAGACAAATAGTGCAAATGCAAACCGCTGAAAGTCTCAGATGGAGACAAGTTGATTATCAGAACAGAGTAGTTAATCAAACGAATTTAAAAACAGGTGTCCCCATGCCAAAGGCCTGCTGCTGATGATTTATGCGATTCTTCGTTAATGGCTTTTGTGGTCAGAACTATGCAAATTGTTTTACGACCCGTAATGGGATGCAACATTGTTCGATGTGCAACGCTTGTCCACACTTGAAGATGATATTATATGGCCTATTGAAAACGGGCATTTGAATTATGGTTATTGCTTAAAGTCATGTTATTCAAACATAATTGGCCAACGATCTTGGCTTCGAATTAATTGGGGGCAAAACTCTAGATTAGCACCTATGTATTTTATCAGTAGCTGTTTGCAGAAGCTAAAAATCTTTAAAGTCGAGATCTATAAATTATTCGAAATTTAATGGGTAAGTTAAGGCATAAACTTGGCATTAAGACTTCTGAATAATATAGTGACCAAGTGGAACATAAACTGGTCTTGGGTAAATATTAAAAGTTAATAAAAACAAGAAGCTACTGGAATAAGTTAGGGTTTTGTTGGTAGAGTAACACCAAGCGGACTAACTTAGTATTAATACCAAAACAAGGATATACAATTTAGAAAGGATGTGTTTTATTGCCTACTTTCATTATACCAGAGAAGTTCTATTCTAAAAACCACTCTCACCACTTCTTTGAATCCATCACCCAAGATCAACGTCAAAAGCTCCAGATAATATCACGTAATTAGCTGTGTAACTAATAGCCATCTTAGTGCATCAATTTCGAATTGCTCACATATTATATTTTCCAGTCGATTACCTCAGCAAGTCAGCCAGCCAGCCAGCCAGTCAGCTGGAGATCTTGAACTCTTTGCATAACTTCCAATCAAATTGAGATGCCAAACGGACCGACGATCGTCGACCGCCGACCGATTCTGAATACTACCATTATCGATTTGCCCATTAACCATTAACTATTAACCAATAGCGACGTGAGTAGATTCTCCACTTACCTGATGATAGCTGTCCGCCGTGATATCGCCGTTTGATTGATCGACTATCTTCTCGGGATGTGTGTGGGTGAGAAAGTCCCAGATCGATTCCCCCTTATCATCTGCGTTCCAGCCACCTTCTATCTGGTATGAAGATGATCCAACGCCCCAGAGAAAGTCGTTAGGGAACCGACGGGTTTGGCTCACCGGACTGCCGAGACATCTGTAAAGATATGGTAATGTGTTAATCGAAAATTGTTGCTAAATCTTCTTCAAAAATCCCCCCTTCATTAATCTCTTCTTTTCACCCAGTTGACTGCTAAATCAAGTGACATTCAAATTTGACGAATGTTACGACATTTTTTATTTACTTTTAAATTTTGTATACATTTTTACGATCTTGGCTAGTCATTTATATCAATTGCCGATCAGCTGGTCAAGGTCAGTCCAGATTTAACGCAAATTTGGAGCTTTCTTTGAGCCAAATTTGCTTTTTTGGCAGCTGAGGCATGCCAAGGAGATTTCTAAAACATTTTCGAGCATTTCTACTGACAAGTTTTTCAGGTATTGAGACATATTTTACACAAATATTTAGAATTTTTATGGTTGCATATAGTTAGATTTAAAACTTATTTTTTCGTTGATTCAAATTTATAATTTTTATTGACATTATTAATAAAAAATAAAGCAAAACTTTTAACAATTTTGGCTACTAAAATAGTGCTAAATTACATATTATTTAAAAATTTTGTAAAATGTTAATTTTTTTTAACAAATACGTTTTAAAAACTTCACTATCAAATATCTATTATTTTAAATTTAATTTATTTAATTGAGGTCCTTCCTTAAGGAATACCAAGATTATCCGAGTAAAATAGTTTCATTTAATGTATATTTTATAACAACTAGGACCGACTTTATATTTAAATTTATCACTGTTCATTTTAACTTATAATTTTATTTATAATATTAATTTCTAAACTAACACTTACGAGGCAATCAACACAATTATGGGCAACATAAATTTAAACATTTGGCTTTTTTATTTGATATCCTTAAACGCGAAACTAATTTTAGCGAAACGAAAACTTTCAGCACCAAAAACCAAGATTTTTGTGCCTTAAACTTTTTCGTTGATATTTAGAACTTTTCGCGAGTTTTGGACGAGTTTTACTGAGCAGCGTGAACGATTCGCGAGCGTGTTAATCGGATCGCGAAACGCTTGCAAATGAACTCCGTCGCTTTAATGTCCTACCATTATAAAGCGGTCGGCGTCGGGCCGCGAGTCATAGACAAGTTATCGGTCCCTCTCTTTTTCGCACTCTTCCATCGGAGATCGCCGACAGGTGTCGATGTTATTACCATTATCTCTTTTGTTTTTATCTCGGTTTTGTTTTGTTTGCTTTCGAGATTTTACACTTATCGGTTACGTCGTTCCGAAAGACCGGAATGGATGTTTTTACCCGGCAAACGTAAGCGAAATCCCAATCAAATGAAAAGATCTGAAACCTTTTAGAGATATCCCAATAGAATTTAAGGGAAATGTAGCGTTATTATCTTGCCTACAAATATTATTTAAATTTATCACAATCAGCAGCAGTCGACTTAGCATAAATTTTACGATAATAATCAAGTCTAGTGAGCCATAAAATTCCCACAAAGGGCACGATTTTGGAATAGTTTTGGGTTTTATTACTATTTCTAGAATTTTGCATTTTCTTTTCTCTTTTTAGTATAAAAAAACACGTTTCTCGCATTAAGTCAACACACATCAGTTAAAGCCTTTAATACCAGAATATATTTAAAGGGTCCCGAAGACACCTCATACCGCCATTCTCTATAATATCTTTTTTCATAATCTTAATTTAATATTTACAAATAGATATTGAAGTTATACCATTTCAAAAAATAAATCATAGAAATCATATCTATATTGTTCCGAATCTTTGTAATATGTAAATATGACAAATAAGTTATGTGTTATTACATTTTGGTATTTTATATTTGTTTTCTAAGATTAACAACATGTTTCACCGTAGTTTAAAAAAGTAATTTATGACTTATGGAAGTTATTCATTTCAAAGCGCAATTCCTACTGAAAAGTTTGTATTTAAAATTTTGATTTTGTCTTGACGTCCTTGTATTGATGTTGCGTCTTGAAGTCTACGTAATGACGAAACAAACTAAAATTAAATATCAATATGGTTTAGTTTAACTTTGGAGTCAAAAGTTATGAACAATTCGTAACAATAAAAGTTTTGAACAGCAAAACACATTTTTTGAAATTTGTAATACATTCAAGATTAATTTCCCAAAGAAGGATATATAAAAGTAATTAGTAATTGTAAAAAGTGTAATAAAAATCGTAAAATGGGTATTACCCACAAGATACACGTTTAAATCATCAAATATTCTATTTAGTACTAAAACACAACTTTATATTACGTAGATCGTAACAAATAAGTATTTCCCCCTATTTCTGTCTACAAAGTTTTCAATTAGTTTATAGAAACTGAAAAACGAAAACAATGTTTAAACAAGTGCAAGTCAAAACAACCACGACTTTTCTCCGGAAGAATGATAAAAAGAAGAGAGATGCGTTCTTAGAGAGAGTACAAAATAAGGTGTGGGAGAAATTCAATTAGATCGAAGTTGATAAAAGCTAATGGAACAACGAGATAAGATCGAATTTTGGTATTGCTGTCAGTTACAGATACAATGTCAGACTTAGTCAGGGGAGTTCAAAACTAAAAACGGAACGGAACCGAATATATCCAAAGAAACCCGTTTTTGCATTGGATTCGCCCAAAAGAACGAAACAATGACTCTTTTGCCTTACAATAGCCATTATAATGTGGACAGCTTTCGTATCCGCAAACTCGCTGAACCTCATATCCAGTTTTTAAATTTTAATCCGACTCATGTGCTAAATGGAAGAACCTGGTACTGATTTCAGCTGAAAGTTTTGAAAGTCAGTCAAGGAACTTAAACATATACTCATTTCCGTTTTTCTTATCTGGCAAAGACTTTTTATTGTATTACGAAATAATAATAATGAGTATTTACAATAGAAAACAAAATCTTAATTATGGCTATCTGAATAAATAGCTGAATATACAAATTCTAAGGTACTATAAGGTTCTAAATAAGAATAACTATTTTTCGACCAAGTTAACAAATGTAAAATCCCGACAACTTATAAAAATAGCTCATTAGTATTACGACAGCACATTAGTACAATGTCTCGGAACGTTCCAAATACGTTTTAGTCAATGAATATTCCCAATTAGATAAATTTCCCGTTTCTTAATAATATTTTTTACTTTTAACAATATAAGCTACATTTCCCAGAGGTATACTTCCCATTAAAAGTAGATTAAAATTTATGAGCGCCTTTAGCAAAAGTCTATAAGAAAAAATAGTATTTAAACAAACTTAAGCAATCAATGAAACAATAAAAAAGCTTATATTCTTAGTAAGGTTTTCTTTTCTATTCCATGATATATGTTAATACGGTTACTGATCAACAAGATTATAATATGTGTTGAATATGGTAATCTCACATTTTTTTTTTATTAACTGATATCCTTCAGATCATATTCCTAACCGGGAGGGTTCAAGCTCCGACAACAGTGTGCCAAGTTAAACTATATATAAGTTCTGACACACGATGTGGGCGTGTCGCCCTCTGTCACAGGTGTTCAACTGCCACTGAACTGAATCAAATCAAATTGAAACGAATGCTGTGTGATTAATGGAGCTATTTAAAAGTTAAAATTTATGAACGGAAATGGCCAACACTTGGTAACAGTTAATCTGAATTCCAGACGTTGTTTGAAAATAACCAAAAAGTTCGTTAGAAGCTTAAGAATTAGCAATATTCAGACGTCAAGTTCAGAAGTTCTCTTCTTAGTGGAGCAAGTAAAAAACCTTTTAACCGGTTTTAAATATTATACCTGCCGTTTATTTTTGCATTTGTCGCTCACGTGGGACAATCTCTGGGTCAATAATGAGTCATTGACAGGCATAAAAACCCCCAAAGAAACCCATGCTGTTGGTATCATTTTGCATACGCATCAACGCATCTCGTAAGTCGAATTAAGGGAAACTACAAAGCCCCTAGAAAACTGGAATATGAACTAATATTGTTTTCATTTCCGTTGACAATTGCGGTTGCTTGCGGTTGTGGGAATAATCTTAATTATTCCTGAAAACTGGAATACAATATTGTGAATAATTAATAGGTCGGGACAAAAACAAATGAAAAGTATGAATACCCAGACCAAGTAATGAAATGCAAATGTTGCCAAAGATTTTATTACATTTTATAAAATATTAATATTTATCCGTTTTCTTGATTTATTAAATATTTATTATAAAATATTTAGACCTATATTTAGTTTTAATTTACATATATTTTTAAAATGTTTGAATTACAATCGTAACCGGAAAGAGTACAAAGTTTTTAATAAAAAACTTAAATCAAACGCGCCCAATTTAAAAACAGTATGGCAACGCCATTATTGAGATTTAACGAAAAATACATGAACGGTCACACTATAAAAATAGTAAACAAATTCGCGACAACACGTGCATTTAATTCGTTATTTTTTATTGAGTGAAGCACTATTAATAATGGAATTATTTACTGTAAATAGGTACGCTAGTTGGAAAAACATTGATCAACGATATTAATTCAATATTTCCATAGGTATACAGAGGATTTAAAGAAACCCAAAGATGGGAATCAAGAAACCGCCAACGAAGATGAAATACTTCAGAAGTTGCTCCAGAAAGCAGCAAAACGCAAGAGGAAACACAAAGAAAGTGAAGTTATAGAAACACCCGTCCCAGAAAAAGTAAAGCCACACGAAAAAGAGACGGAAACCAAGGAAGAGCTATTAGAATCAGAAGAAACCACCCGCGCAATAGTTGAGGAGCAAGATGTACCCTCTAGTGGCTTTCAAGTTCTTGGCGGTGATGGTTCGGCGGACAAAAAGAACAAAGTGGAGATGCAATTGCCTAGTTGGCTGGCTCATCCCACTATCATCGAGGGGGGAAACCTGCAGCCCGAGGAAGAGATACCCGCTTCGGAGGCCATTGATCAGCTTGATTACCTGGAAAAGTCTACCTGTCAGGCTCTTAAGCAGATGAAAATCAAGCGAATGTTTCCTGTTCAACGCCAGGTCATCCCATGGATTCTGGAGGCCCATGCCAAGCCACCCCCTTTTCGTCCCCGCGATATTTGTGTATCTGCTCCTACGGGAAGTGGTAAAACGTTGGCCTTCGCCATACCAATTGTTCAGTTGCTATCACAACGGGTCGAATGTAAAGTACGGGCCCTAGTCGTCCTTCCTGTGGCAGAGTTGGCCCTGCAGGTTTACCGGGTAATCAGTGCATTGTGCAGTAAAACTGAGCTAGAGGCTTGCCTGCTATCAAAGCAACACAAACTTGAGGATGAGCAGGAGAAGCTGGTTGAGTTCTATAAAGGAAAATATTACTCCAAGGTGGATATTGTGGTAACCACTCCAGGTAAATTGGGAAAACAATCCCTTAAACTGTTTTTTATTAAAAATCTTTTCCAATTTAAGGTCGCCTGGTAGACCATCTGCATGCCACCAAAGGTTTTTGCCTAAAAAACCTTAAATTCCTTATCATTGACGAGGCCGACAGGATAATGGATGCAGTTTTCCAAAACTGGCTTTATCACCTGGACAGTCATGTTAAGGAGACCACAGACCAGTTGCTGGCCGGAAATCAAGCTCCTCTATGTTATGCTGAACTTCAGTCCAGCTTTGGCAAGCAGCCACATAAGCTCTTGTTCTCGGCTACACTATCTCAGGATCCGGAGAAGCTCCAAAATCTACGACTCTTCCAGCCGCGTCTCTTTACCACCGTGTTTACCATGCCCACAATGACGAAGGTATCAGGAGAAGGGATGGATAACGAAACGGATCCAGATCACGGACAATTTGTGGGCAAATACACAACGCCTGCGGAATTAACTGAACGTTTCTGTGTTACGGAGCTGCGATTGAAGCCGCTTACTCTTTTTGCTTTGGTGCAGGAGAACCAATGGAAACGATTCCTTTGCTTTACGAACAGCACGGACCAGGCCAGTCGTCTGACTCACGTATTGAAAACCCTTTTCCTTAATACGACTACTGCAGTAGCCGAGTTATCTGGAAATCTTTCGGCTCTAGTTCGAAAAAATACGCTTAAAGACTTTGCCGCTGGAAGGTTAACGGGTCTAATCTGTTCAGACGCCCTAGCGCGTGGTATTGATGTGGCTGATATAGATGTTGTAATCTCTTATGAAGCACCACGCCACATCAAGACCCACATCCATCGAGTAGGTCGAACAGCTCGAGCTGGACGAAAGGGTACCGCCATCACCCTGCTGACGGAAAAAGAGCAGCCAGCATTCAAAAAAATATTGAACGATGTGGGCAAGGGACTAGGTGAAGAAATACAAGTTTCGCAAGACATGGAGATAAAGCATGCAGTTGACTATAAAAACGCTTTGCACTTTCTGGCTGTCTATCAGAGAAAGCAGAAGAATCAAAAGATGGCGAACAAGAAACGAGTTGCCCATCAGGCATTGGTCCATAAGCACAAGGAGGATGTGGATCGTCCACTGACATTGATGGAAAAACTGCAGCTCAAAGCGGCTGATGGTCAGGCGGAAGTTATCTCCAAGAAACAGAACCTAAACGCGAAACCTAAAAAACCAAAAGCCAAGCCCAGAGAATCCAAGAAACAAAGTGTTGCCAAAATAATAAAGGCAATCAAAAAATAAAATTTTTAATAATTTTTTGGTTTGTAGTTATTGTATTTAGTTTATTTTATTATAATAATGTAAATCAATATTTGATTGTTGTTTTGTATAGCGTGAGCGTTTATTCGGGGTCTCCGGGAGCATTTTCTTATCTGTGGGGCGCAAGTGAATCCCCGCCAGGTTCTTCACCGCAATCGGTATTTGCTTACCCTGTATGAAAGTACTTAAATTTTATGGCGAGTACGACGCACTACGCACTAAATTTCTTATTATAATTTGTGAAAATATAATAAAGACAGTTCCTATGATATTCTTTTTCGAAAGTGAGGCACACTTAGCACAAATTTTGTTTTTGAGAAATAGTTCTTTTTTTACAAGCTGTTGTCTAAAATCTTGATTATAACTCACCTTAAGAGTATCTTTCGTTTCGACTTTCTTCACAATAAACAATTCCTATTTAAGCAGCACCCGTAAGCTAGAGAGTTTTATAGAATCTTGAATCTTGAAACGATGAACACATCAACGGCTATAAAGTTTATAACTGCTCTGGCACTCTGCTCCTTAGGTAATCAATCAAGTTTGCCGTAAACGAAAATCAAATTGTTTAATCACTATTTCTCGCTCGGACAGCTCTCTCCGCCGATGCCCTGCAGATTGAGCCCCGAAGCAGTTGGGGAGCTGTTCCTGCCCGTTCGCCTTCGAGGATTTCTGGTGCCGTTGACTATGTAATCATCCATCACTCCGACAATCCCAACGGTTGCTCCACCTCCGATCAGTGCAAGCGGATGATCAAAAATATACAGACTGACCACAAAGGTCGCCGAAATTTCAGCGATATCGGCTACAACTTTATTGTGGCCGGAGATGGAAAGGTATACGAGGGTCGTGGTTTTGGACTCCAGGGTTCACATGCCCCCAACTATAACCGCAAGAGCATTGGTATTGTCTTTATTGGCAATTTCGAGCGCAATGCACCATCTGCCCAGATGCTCCAAAACGCCAAAGATCTGATCGAATTGGCAAAACAGCGTGGACACCTCAAGGATAACTACACGCTGTTCGGTCACCGTCAAACCAAGGCCACCTCCTGCCCAGGCGATGCCCTCTTCAACGAGATCAAGACATGGCCCCACTGGAGGCAAAACTAAGTGTACTTTACCTAAGAGGATGCATTACACTTCCTAGAATTTTTATTAAAATAAATAGTAATATTATTAGTTGAAACAAGTTGCCATTTTTCTAAATTTTGTATTTAAAGTGTTATTTTAATAGTCAGTACTATTTATATTAAACATTTATAGAAATGGGGGAAGAGATTATAGGAAAAAATATTTTTAAAATATTCGTTAAAATCTTATGTGTTTACTTAGTCTTACAACCTAAGGTTTTGGCTGCCAGCGTGGCCACTTTTTTAGCTCATCCAGAAGATGTTTTCCCGGACAAGCTGTGGCCTTAGTTTGGCAATGTCCCACAAGAGAATAACTTGGCGAAACCTGGCGACGCTGTACGGCGATTTGGATAAGAGTACGGGCAGCTTGTAACATCTGGTGAGGAGGTAATCCAGCTAAAAAGACATAAATTAATAAATATTAAGTAGAGTTTAAATTTCAATACGCCATTAGTAGCTTACTCTGAAAGTTGCCAATGAAAGCAATCCCAATCGATTGACTGTTATAGTGGGGAGCGTGTTCCCCTCGGATGCCGAAACCCAAACCTTCGTAGATTCGACCATCGCCGCCGATCAGGAAGTTATAGCCTATATCCCTGAATTTTCTGCGCAGATGATCAGCACGAATTTGTCGAAGTGCCGACTGACACTGGTGGGGATTAAAGCAGGGAGCCGTGACCGTATGATGAATGATGATGAGTCGAACGGGTACCATCAGCCTTGGCAATCTCGGAGATAGTGGCGCAGGACACCAGTTCCTCCGGGGAACAATCTGGCCCAAGGCCAATGTCAAGCTGAACAGGAGGAGTGCCGATTGTAGCTTCATCTTCACTTTTTGCTATGCAGTACTCTTTTAGCCACTGATCGATCTATTTATATAGCCCACCGAAATTTCTGGCCAAGAATCTCCCTATTTACTCAGCTGTTTCGATCAATGGTTTCGATCAATGAATTGCAGCATAATTAAATGCCAAGAAGCCTTTGTCTGTTTGTAAATTCCGCTTGCGTCATATATGTATAAAGACATCTATATATAAAGCCCTGCACGCTTTGTTGGCTTCTCTTCTTTGGTAATGCAAATCTGCCCTTGAACGACTCGGTGGCCCAAAAATGGTTGGTCATCCGTAAAAGGATTACTGCATTTGAAAGTCAAATCCAATCCGGGGAGCTATAAAAGCCACTTGGATGAGTAACGAGTGGACAGTGGCCAGTAATCGAGTGGCCCAGGTAGTAACCCAGGTTAAAGCTACATCATGAAGATCGTAAGTATCCTTAAGGATCATTAAGTGGAACACAAATAAAGCATTCATATATTCCAGGTTCTCTCTACTATGCTTAGCTACTTTCTACTGGGACTGGTTCTGTCCCATACCAGCATTGCAACTGCCACATCTGGAGTGATACCGACGTATCCATCAGCAGTTCCGGCTGCTTTACCCGCCGTTGTTCCAGTGGCCACAAGTCATCAGTTTGTCACTCGGAACTGGAATAGAGCCTATGTGCCTACAACAACAGTAGCCACTTATCCGACCACCTACTATAAGTACGGCGGAGGATATCCAGCTTATCCCGCCTATAGTTATCCTTATGCCCCGACCTATCAGTACACCTACCCGTACTACTACCCCACATATAACTATGTTTATGGCTATAAGGGTGTCTGGTGAATGTTGCATCACAGAAGGCAATGCCACATGGTTAACATACCGCACCATAAATCTATTGTGATAACAATCGTTACCAAATTACATTGTTTTAAATATATATCAATGGATATATAAAACAATTATGTTACATAAATATATTCAAATATATATACAGAAAATATAAACATATTATTTTCCCTTTTTTCATTTAATCACTTTACTAGGCCCGTGGACAACTGAAACCCGTTGAGTAAAACTAACAAAATTTTTGTGGTTAACCAACTTGTATTTTTATTTATTTAAATTAAAACTTTAGTAATTAATGAACAACGTAAGAGCTTTTCTAAATGAAAAATGGTCCCTGCAATCCAGGAACAATAAAACGAGTTGGTTGGATAAGACGAGCTCCAGGTGCAGAGAAAGGAGTAGCAGCCAGGATACGAGCAGGAGCAGTCGGTGTAAAAGCAGCATTAAACTGGTTGAAGTAGTCGAGGCGTTGACTGCTAGAAACGGCCAAAGGAGATGAACCCAAGGGAGCACCTAGAGGATTAACCAAAGGGGTAGCAGCAAATGGAGCTGCGGCAACTGCAGGAGAAAACGATCCTGGATAAAACCCAAAAGGTGATGCCGATGGAAATAAAGCCGGATCCACAGCAGGCTTAGCCAGCGTAGCGCTGGCCAACAGTCCCATCGATAGAATAATCAACTGAAATGTGAGAAACTTATTAATCCTGACTGGGATTCCCTAAGGATCTTCTTGCCATTGGTTGCATCTTAGAAAGATTGCTGTTGGCACAGAGTCTCAAAACTGAGTATGCATTGTCTTTGATCGAGCCTTTGGTTTTATAGTTTCTGAACCACAGCGAGTCTGGTAAAAGATCCAAATTGTCAAACGCTTTGCTCCAAAAGTGGCATAAATGGCAGTGCAAGGCAGCAAATAATTTGCATAACAGCCCATATGGGTTTGTATCTTACGACACCTAATTTGAAGTAATAAATGGTTAGCGCATTACTATTTGGAAACCACTTTAATTCTTGATAATGTTAAGCGTTTTTCAGAAATTCTAGTAATAATAACAGTAGCCCACAAATAAAAAACAATTCTCAATATGCTTCTCACAGTTTAATTGATAGAACAAAATGATGAGACAAAAACCAATTTAATCATCTCATACACAGCGAGACTTGACAATAACTATAGTATTCGTATAATTGCATTACATATAAGAATATGTTTGTATGTATAATTATTATATATTATTTAATGTTAATGTTTTTATTTTTATTTAGCTGCTTGGGAGTTACTTGATCGTTCAGTTTCAGTTGCTCTTTCAGTTACGTATAAATATATATGTATATATATATATTTATGTATATAAGTTGTTAAATCATAAAACACTTTGATGCGACACTGCCGTGGAATTAAACTAATTAGTCGTTAGTTAACTATGTAATCAATCATAAAAATGTTGCTTGTAGTACGCATAAACATAAACGTATCCTAGGAATATATGTAGTATTTTATGCTAGCACAGTGGTTGCACTTTGGATAAATCGTTATATGGGTTAGACGACATCTAGCATAGGCAATTAATTAGTTGCTTTCGTTAGTTTGATCGATTTGCAGATCGATTGATGATTTGGGATGTGAGTATTTCATTATCTGTCGAGTGGGGAGTACCTTTAACAAACGCTTGTTTTCGTTTACATTTCATCTATGGCTTGGTTGGAATCTCCTTGTGGATATATCTATATATACAATCTGGTTTAGAAACAATATCTGATCTCCTGTGGATTGGGCAGAGCTGGGAGTTAAGGAATCGTCTACAGTATTTGAGGGAGTATTGCGATATTACAAGTTTAAATGGCTTTTAAGTTGACTAGATATATGTGGCGAATTATATATCGTATGGATTCCCTCTTTCTTTCTTCCTCTTTCTTAAGATTGATCCTTGGACACCTCCTCATCCTCCCAATCCTCCTGATCCTACCACAGTACATCGTAATCGTAAACATGCTCCGACGATGCAATGATCAGACACTTAACGAAGTCATCTAGGGTGCGCTTAAGTTTCCACTTTTTCGGCTTCCTCAGCAACTGCTGAATTGGCTTAGACTTGGCCTTTGGCTCATGCCAGGGACTTGTGGATGTGGAGATTGATTTGGTTATCGGCTGCCGCTTCACTTGCTCCTGAGATTGCTGGTCTGGCAGATTGCAGTACACATGGCGGTCCAAGCTCTGCTGCAAGTTCTGCAATCGCTGTTGCTGGTAGTAATGGTTGAGATTCGTCAGGAAGTAAAAGTCAGTGTCGTTAACTACATCGATCTCAGCATAGTTGTTGCCATCGATGTCCGGCTCCGGTCGCTGCCCCGATGCCTTGGCAAAGAGTTGGTCAAATCACATGTTTTCATCGAACTTTGCAAAGTTCGCGTCCTCGTTCCATTGGAACTTGCCAGCCTCTGCATCGTCATTATGCTGATCCGTCGACGGCTCCTGATCCGGTGATTTAAAGAACTCATCGTCCTCGAAGGGATCCTCTTGCTTTTTGGCGAATATATTCACCGACTCGGATTTCTTGATGAGCTCCTGGCGCTGCTGGAGCTTGCTGGTTCGCATATTCTGTTTCCTACTCATAGCACCCGATACTCCGGCTCCAGCTGTCCCAGAACCACCTTGTTCCTTTTCAAAATCAAATGATGCCTTGGCAAAATCATCTTCGAAGGCAGCATCGTCGAACTGAGACACCTTTACATTATCATCGAATCGCAGTTTCTGGGTAATGGGTGGCGTTGAGGTCGGCGGTGTTTCCATCTCGAACTGTTCCCGTTTCTCGCGATCGGAGAAATCATTAGAGAATCGGAAAAGGCTCTTCGATCCACCATTATTTGCATTTGCGGAAACTGGACCAGCCGGTGTAGAATTGCAGCTGGAGGCGGTACCTGCCGGTGCTGGCGGTGGTGAACTCTGATTGAAATCCGATTCGAATCCATCGTCAAAATTAAACTTGGAACTAGTCACTCCCGCGGAAGATTCTCCACCACTCATCATCAGGCCACCGGGCCCGGTGCTGCTGGCGTTCGAACGTGGCGTTGGGGTTGGAGTTTGCTCATAACTGTCCACAAAACCATAATCACTGTTTACCACAACGCCACGTGTACGATTCTGGCCGGGAAGTTTTGCTAGTGATGGAGGCTGATGACGTTCCATTTGCCGACGCTCGGACTCCAACATCCTCTGGTGCATCTCATGTCGCCGGCGGTTCAATCTTTCGAATTTATCCTCATCTGTTGGCGGTTCATCATCCACATAGTCGTCATCATCATCGTCGTCGTCATCGTTACGCTGGCCAGGGCACATGTAATCGTAGTTATCCCGGATGCCACGGCCGTAGCCTGACCTGGACGGCGCTGAGGTGCCTGCAGTGGGAGCACCCACGGCAGCTAAGTCCTTAGCACTGCGAGCGCGGGTCTTCTTACGGAATCTGCGGTATTTATGCATATTTATGACCTTCTTTAAAGATTAAAGAAAAAACACTGACCTTCGTTCTTTTTCGCCATCCGAGGGAGTTTGACCCAAAGCTACCGCCCTTCTACTCTCAGCCAAACGTCTTTCGGTGTCAGCGGCGCTGGCTGGACGTTTCCAAGATTTCTGACCAGGCAATGCAGGTTCTGCAATATGCAATTGGTAAGAAAGAAACATTTTAAATCCAAAACTTAAAAACCCTTACCCTCGCCATCCCAGGGACTGGAACCGCTGCTCTTTCTTAACCGCTGCGGGCCCACTACCGCATTGGAGGATACCACATCTCCGCCCAGCTGACTGGGTCGCTGCAGACTCCGAACACCTGGTCGCTGTTGGAAGTCCTGCTCCGAGTCCTGCTCGTAGTCAATGTCGCCACTGATTCTGAGCTTTCCAGATGTAGTTGTGGGCTTCCGTAAGGAGCGGGTCTTCATCTGCTCGCGGTCCCGTTCACGATCCCTTTCCCTCTCGCCGCGGTATTCTTCGCGACTGTCCAAGCTGCCGTAAACATCATTTCCACTACCGAAACTTCGTCGACGCCGTGTGGCACTCTCATAAGATTCAAGACTTTCCCGGTCGAAGGATTTGCGTTCACGCTCTCGATCTCTTTCTCTATCATAGAGGTAATCACCTCCACCTCTTCCTGGCTTGTAGGCCATTGGAGAACGTCCTCCACGCTCATCATACACATTTTCGTAGTCGAAATCGTAGTTCGGACGAGCGTATTCCCGATACTCTCGGTCTCGATCTCTCTCACGATCCCTTTCCCTATGATCCCCACGATATTTGCTCCGCAACTGGCCTCGTTTGTCGTAGATGGGCGGTGGTGGCCCATAGCTGGATCGCTCATAGGCAGCACGCTCAAAGGATCGCGCTCGGGCTTGCTCGATTTCCTGCGGGGACCAAGTGTGATGCGCTGGATGATGGTACCAGCTGGGGGATTCTGTTGACATAAGAGTTTTAAGAATACCATTTAAGATTTGAACGTAATTAATATAACTCACCCAAATCAAAGTTGTCGCGGCTGCGGGAGAGACCATGTTTAAACTTTCGCTGTTGCTGTTGCTGCTGATCCCGGCGTGCTATGAACTCCGCATCATAGCTAAAATATTTGAATATTTGTTAATTGCATTTATATCATTTAAACCCGACATTTTTATTAACATCTCATTAGTTCCTGAAACTAAGACCTATTTTCTTTACTTACTCGTAATCCTCGTCGCATGAGTTCATTCGCCTGGCGTGTCTCATGTAGTAGCCATGCCGATCTGTATGCTGCGGCTGTGGTTGCATTGGTGGCTGGTGAGGATGAGCCATTTGGGCGGCGGCCAATTGCCGTCTCTTTAGATACTCTGGTGTTTCATCGTCCCAGGGACTCAAATCTCGAGATGATGAGGACGTCTGTTGTCGCTCTTTCTTCGCCCAGCGACGTTGTTGCTTTGACCAGCCATCGTCACGTGGATCCGAACTGCATGGAGATTCCACCGTATCCGGTTGTGAAGTATTAGAGGCAGGTGGAGGTGGTGGTGGAAGCGTTAACCTAGCCTTTCCCTTTGCCTTTGGGGAATCGAAAGTTGCCCAGGATTGCTTTTCTCGCTCCTTGTCGCCCATCATCTGTTTAGTTGCGGTATCAATGAGTTGAGACACTGCTGAAAGCTGCGAGGGCACTGGGGATGGCCCCATCACTGGTTTCTGGAGAGGAATTGGCGATGTGCTGACATCATTGAACTGCGAGGGCGTATGCAATCCGGGAGCTCCTCTTGATGGAGCTGCCGAAGAGGTGGCTGGCGAAATCCTGTCCCTTGAGTCCAGAGAGAGATTCGATATAGCGCGATGCATGAGCTCATCGATCTCGATATCATCTTTGGTTCCACCCCCAGGTGCTGTAAGTACGGAAAGGAATTTCTGATCCTGTTTAGGAGGTAGGGACTGCTGCTGTTGCTGTTGCACGTCCTCTAAAGTTGGACCAGCTGCATCCAGTTGTTGCGTGGACGTGGAAAGCTTTTCATATTGATCCTGACCGCTAACGGGTTCTGCATCCTTTTCATTACTATCCATGCTGCTCTCACCACCTGCATCTGCATCCTCATCCTCGTCGTCATCGCCCACAGTCAAAGCGGAAGATGAAGGCTCTGTTGGAAAGCCCCGGCTGTCCACCAGACCAAGGCGATCCCTAGAATGTGATTGTGCATCCTGATGATCCATTATTTGACGGAGGTCATGATCCTCATTAAACTCATCGCTAAACTCTGGAAAGTCCTGCAGTAGATCCTTTTCCGGTTGCGTGGCTGCTGGAATCGCCGGTTTATCAAAGAGATTCTCCACTAGGATGATGTCTCTTAGGGCTGCATAACGGTCCTTGGCCTGTGCCACAACTTCGGTGATCTTGGTATCGATCTTAGGAGCTGGCTTGACCTCCAAGGCATCAATTGGTAACTCTGCACCTACATTGTTCACCTCCAATCCCTCTGGAATTTCCTTGGCCTGCGTCTCGTCGACTGGCGGAGGTGTCAAGTCGCCCATTAGATCCGTTTCCTGCTGTTGCTGCTGCAGCTCCTGATCGATGATTTCGCGAAATACTGCATAACGATCCGCTGATGGAACTGTGGCAACCACTGGCGATACTGCTGACATGGGCATTGCCGTGGGAGCCTCATTAAAATTGGCGAAATTGGCCACAAAGGTAGAATCCGAGGAACTCGAAGGCATCACCAGCTCATCCTCGCCGAAAGTGTCGTCGAACTTGGCCACAAAGGAGGTTTGCTGATCGAAGTTCACCTTGAAGACAGCTGCTGTGGATGCTGGAGCAGGAGCTGGAATGGCAGGCGAAGATCTCTTTTCCTGGCTATGAACCTGGCTCTTTTCACTAGACAAATACTCGGAGAGATAGGCTGTTAATTGAACCAGAGTCATGGTGCTTAGTTTGCTGGCCGGAACGTTTAGTTTAATAGCCAAGTCATCCATTCCCAAGGTGAGCAGTTGTGTTAATGTAATATCGGGAGCTAGGGTATTGGCAGTAGATGACGCCTCCTGAGCTTGGGCCTGGGCCTGAGCTTGAGCCTGCAGAATCTCTGCCTTATTTTCATAGATATCCTGTGGTCTGCCAAGCGAAGCCTGCCGTTGTGGTCTAGCCCGAGCCATAGATCCCTGGCTGGGAGGCGGCAGCAATGGCGGTGGAGCTCCCAATGGCGCCAGGTAGTCATCTTCGGTGTGTCCCGGTTTTCTTGGTCTTCCTGGACCCGGAAAGCAACCATCGGAGCGTCCCACACGTCGCGATGGCAATGGAATGGGTGGTGCATCAACAGATGAGACAGTCCGTCTAGCAGTGACACTACTGTTCAAGTACTCATACCGTCCAGCACTTGGAGGAGGTGTGGCATTTGCAGGTGAAGGTCGAATGACCAAGTCGCTGAACTGTTTCTTGGGCGGTAGAGGTGGCGGTTCCGAGTACGGCGTCGAATCTGGACGAGGCGGTGGTTCAGGAGCAGCCTCCGTTTCGCTTAGAGAATCGCTTTCCTGCAAACGTCGCATGTTGACACTCGAACCAATGTCCGATCCCGATTTTCCAAAAGATCTGGACTGGCCAAAAAGATGTGGCATCTTCTTGTTGCTTATACTGGAGATAACATCCAACGCACCTCCACTTGGCAGCGCGGAAACTGAGGCCGTGGGACGATTCCTCACCGTACTTGGAGGTTGTTGAAGCTGCATCTCCTTCTCTGGTGGCAATTGCACCTGAAGTGGTCCATTGAATACGTTCGATTTTGATTCCGTCGCCACATTTGGGGCCGAGGGAGCTGGAACCGCCGGCGGAGCCTCAAACTCGAAAGCATCCAGTTTGGCAAAGAGATCGCCCTCTTGAAACGGATCTGGATCGCTCTTTTTACGTGTAGGCGAAAACGGATCCGTGTCTCTGGGCAACAGCACAGGATCCGCCGCAGGATGGGGATCCTCCAACGAGGTCAACGTGGGGGGTTCTGTGGTATAATAGTGGCCGGTGGGATTAGGCGGATTAGTGATATGGCCAAGCAACAGTTTCAGCTCAGCGCTCGGAGTGATCGAGTGGGAAATAGATGTGGGTATGGAAATGGGAGCGGGCAGGGGATCGGGATTGGGATTGGAAGCAACCGTGGACAGTAGCGGGCCCAAACTGGCGGCGGTGCTAGCAGTGGTGGTTAGTATGTTAGCCGAGTTCTGGAGCGGAATTCCTGCGGTGCAAGTGCAAACTTTAGAGAGCAGTTTACTTAATGCAATATCTAAGTGCACAGAGACAAAATATCACCAAAAATGATTTATCATATGTTATTTTTTTTCATTAAAATGACATTTTTTCTCTGTGCGGAAATGGTGTTCGAGTTGTGGTTGGTTAGTACCTGCGGTGATGTTAGTAGCTGTGGTGGTGGTGGTGGTGGAGATGGTGGTGCTATCCTCCGGAAAGAGGCCATCCGGCTGACCCAGGGAGAGACCCAAGCCAAGACCTGCCTGGCTGCCGGAGCTGAGCTCCTTAAGCAGCTTCTTCGGCGGATTCTTTAGCTCTTGGAAGAAGTATTTCTTATCGACATACGGCCTGGTGCGTCCCGTGCCCAGCGGATCCAGATCCGTGAACGCATCTGCACAATGGAACAGAAGGAATGAGGAATAACGACAGAGATATCGGACCATGAGTGCAGCTCCAAATGGAGACTCCGAAGTTCTTTTTTCCACAAAATCAAAAATAAGAGAAAAACTCAAAGAGCTTAGAAGTAAAGGAAGAAAGCTTGAATCATCAATGAGACCGAAGAAATAAAAACCACCATGAAGTGTCCCTATCCGAATGCTAATTAAGTTAAGCTTATGTGAGTTAGTTTAGGGTTAGAATTAGAATGAGCACATAATACATAATAAATTAAAAAACAGTCACTTAACAATACAAAATAACAGAAAATAAATTTAGGATAAGCAATAGAAAGAGCTGTCTGTTTAATGAAAATCATATAAAAAATATTTTATCTTAAATCCCTTACTGAAACAAGGTATGCAAAGTTCATAAGTTTAAATTGATTCAAAAATATTTAAAAATTGCACAAATTATGTAGGAAAAAATTATACATGTATACAAAAATCTACAGAGAGTTCTACACCCAAAGATTTCATTCAGTTCAATTAATTTGACCCTATAGCACTCCCAATTGTTCCCTTGGCGGGCGGACACATCTCGTTCCACTGACCACTCCCCGAACGATCACAGACAGCTCTTTCATCGCTTTCATGGAGATGACAAAGCCACACAATATGTGACAACTTCAACAATGAGAAGATGGTGGAGCGATGCTCTTTTAAGCTTACCCAAAGACAAGATGGCTGAGGCCAGTTCTTCGTTTGTCGATGTCGATCCCAAACCGATATCAAGGTCAGCTAGAGCTCCAGTTCCTGAAGCCATCTCTGTCAGTTGTTGTGTGGGCGTGGCCGTGGATTCGGAGGAGGCCAATGGAGCCATGGCCAAAACCGATCCCAATCCGCTGCTGCCCACTACTTTGGTTGTATCGAAGACATCATTCTGCTGGTCCAGTTCCTGCAGCCAATTGTCATCGTCGTTATCCGCAGTCTGATGTCCTGCAGTGGCAGGAGTTTGAGAGCTACTGGCACCAGTAGGTGGCGAAAGCATAGCATCCAAACTGGCAACCGCTTCTGGAGTTTTGTTAGGCGGCTTGTGCCGATTTCGCCCGGAATCAGGTGGCGGTGGCAGGATACTGTAGGAGGGCACATAGATGAACGAGTCTCCGAAAGGATCATCCTCGCTCGCAGATTTGGCCAATGTCGGATGTGCAGCACCAACAACTCCAGCATTGGAGGTCAACGTGGTCGGTTCATTTGGCGTTATTCGTTCCATCTGACTGATTCCTCGCTGAAGTGAGGTAAGCTCTTGCTCGAGGTCCACCAGGTCAGCTACAGATTCGGGGGAAATCTACAAAAAGTGGGTTGCATTAATTAAAATCAATTCGATTTCCACATAAACTTACCTCTTTGGCGGCCGATCCCGACGCCTTGGCCACGTCTAGATTTACGCCCAACCTGCTTGTTCCATTTGTGGTGCTAAGGCCACTGCCCAACAGTGTAAGGGCATGTCCAGATGATATTCCTCCACTGGCTAAATCGGAATGACCCAGACCCAACCCTCCTAGGCCGGCGGACTTCAACGAGGACAGGGAGGCCAGCTGGCTGGCGTGATCATGCAGGGATTTTCCCTGAATTTGCTGACGCGCCATCTCGATCTCCTTCTTTTTAAGCTCAAAGACCACTTGGAAGAGATCACGCATGGCGAGCACCACCTGGCTGGCCGCCTTGTCCGTCTTGATGCCGAAGAACCGATGGCCACTATCCGGCGATCCGAAGATATACCCAAAAGCCCTTGAGTCCGTCATATCCTGGGCGATGAAGGATATTTTGTGCACCGGATGGTGGTACAGTGAGTCACCAGTTTTCTCATCCCTCAGACGCAGCCCATCGATGGTCACATGGATGGTTATCCTTTGCTTGTGCTCTCCAGCCGCCCGAATGGCCATCTTGAGGTCTTGCAGCGCCTCCTGGCACATTCGATCCCCACGGGCCTCGCCCACCTCCAGAATGCCGATGAGCTTTGCCTTGAACTGGACGCCATCGCCGAAAAAGCGTCCCGGATCATTGCGATCTGGAAATAAGCGTTGTAAATCGAATGCCAGAATAAGTCTTTGTGTCTTTTTAAGGTGTGTATTCAGTTAGTTTTTGTTTGCCGAAAACATTTTATTTTACGAGTATATTTTACAGTGGTCACTCGCCAGTTTTAGAAGCCTTGAGTTTTCGAGGTGTGGCTGAATTCGTGTGAGAGAAGCCTTTTTTAAATAAGTTGAACCTGGCTTTTACGAATTTGCGAAACATGTTTAATATTTTTAATATAAAAATATTTGTTTAAGGGGATATAGCAAAGATTTTTTTAAATTCGATGGACAAATTTAAAAACGAAAGTGCTCCCTTCACTAAAAGGTTATACTATAAAGCTCTAAAAATATTAAAAAATACAAAAACGAACATTTTTTAAGTTTTTATCAAAATAAGAGAACCATTTGTTGTAGTATATATATCGTGAACTTGTTTTTAATTGCTCTTTTGTGTATAAATATTTTTAAATGTGTGTATTAATATGATTTTAATGAAGCGAATCCACATACAAACATTTCCAGTGATTCATTTTCCAAACTTTTTCTAGTTTTATGTGCATGGCTGAGCATTTTCATGTATTATATTTATATTCTTAAAACTTAGAAAATTTATTTAAGTACTGTTTTAAGCGAAATGAAAAATTTAATGATTTCAAAGTTAAAGCATACAAATTGGTATAGCAATTTGTATAGAGGCTTTTAATTAATTAAGAATGTGTATAATCTCTACAGAGACGAAAGAGTGGAATAAAAATAAATATTGTTTTTTTTCTTTTAGTTTTATATTTAAGAAACAATCTTGGCTTTTATAAGTCTTTTGGGGCAATAAATAATAAAAATAATCATGAACATAAAAATTACAAAATAATTTATATTCATAGCTTGGGCTTATCAGCCGTTTTACTTTAAAATGTTCACTGTGTAGTTGGAATAACTTGATACGCTCTAAAATTTATTTATAACTGAAATTGTTTAAATACAAAAAATATATTTGATCAAAATGAATGAAAATTATTCTCTTGCTTATAAGGATTAGTTTTATAAATGTATTAATATTATTTTTTGATATAGAGTTTTAAAAATACATATTTTAAAGTGATTAGAACGTAGAATTTGTTCTTTAACTGATCACTAATTTATCAATAATTTTAATTTTGAAACTTGAAATAATAGTTTTCGGCAATATCTTAACGTTTCTCACTGTTGAGGGGCCACTGTGTTTGTTTGTGATTTGTGTATTTGCTTAGTTTGTTTTCGCTAACGTTTTGCGTAATTCGTTTCCTCTGCTGCGCCGCTACCGCCGCCGAAAGTGCTGGCCAAGGAGAGATTTGATGAGGCTGTGGACAACTTGGCCACCAGGGATTTGACCATGTTTCACCAGGCCCAATGGCTCAATGGGCACTGCTCATTGGTAAAGCCTTGGGAAGGCTGGGAAAACTGTTGAAATCAAGAATTCTTTAACAGTGCTCACTGGAGTGTCAACAAAATCAGTGTCGCATTCCTGGCCTCTCTTTTGTGTGAATTTGTGTTGACATTTCCATTGGGATGAGAGAATTGGAGGGGGAGAAACGGAGACGGAGGAGAAGGGCAGAACACAATGGAGGACACACAATGTACGAATATTCCACAACGATTTTTCGCGACGCTATAGATTTAATTGAATTCTAGCAGAGAACGATTTGAGATCCGCGATCATGGAATGAATAAAAACGACTGAGAGCGTATAAATGTGATGCTCTCCCTCTCTTTTGTCGCAGTTTGTTCAATTCAAATAACAAACAAAAACACACGCACAGACACACAAACACACATCTGGAGACGACACTCGCGTGTGTACACAGATTTCACTCTATTATTTAGTGATTTTCATCCCGAAAAATGAAGTACAGAACGCGGATCTCTCTCGCTTATTGTTGTTCTTCTTTTGGGAAAACTGCAACACCTGCCGACAACTGCGACGCCGGCGCAGCAGCTGCTATTCGATTGACAGATGCTGTCTAAGTCGGCTATCGATAGCAAGGCTTAGTGGGGAAACGAACGATCGTTGGGCTATCGGTATAGTATATCGAGATTTAAAATAGTTTGAAATAGACAATTAAAATAATATTATATAACCAAAAACTGTATATAAAAAACTCTTGCTAATACTGTTATTATTGTGTTGTTTTTGGTTTATTATGGTTATTATTTCAAATCATAAATGTAATAATGCTTTTGATTTGCCATCTGGCTCAGTATCTAAATAATACATAAATACATTTTAAATTATCAACTTCATCAAAATGATCTTTAATTTACTTACATTTACAAGGACTCGTTTTCTTGCGCAGCGTCTGCATTTTGCTCAGAAAAAGCTGATTGGCATTCGTGTAGTAATTCCTTTGGCCGCGTATAATGTTGCGAATAATGATTGTGCTTTCTAGGGCGGTTTATATTATTTACGACTTATGTTAATTGTATGGCTTTCTTCGTTGTTTTATTTTTATAATGTTTTTTGTGCTTTGTTTACACCTGTCCTGCTGTTCGCGACTGCTGTCTCGCTCGCACCAGCACACTCCTTCCGCCAAACTTGCTGTTGTTTTTGTTATTGTGCCAGTCGGTCGATGGAACACACCGGCATTTGTCTCAGTTACACTTACACGGTCACACACACACACTCGACAGGGATTATCGATTTTCCAACTTTGGCATCTGTGTGCGTGTTTACTTCCACTTTGCCTACTTTAGGGCGTTGTGGGGGGAGGGACACGAAGAAAGCTAATACTACTACGCCTTTCATTATGCAGCGGCAAATTATCTTTTTTCCATTAACCGTTATTCGTTGTATCATAAATTCTTGTCCTATATTGCACAACTTTCTTTGTCTGGCAGCCAAGAAAAAATGTGAAGTACAAAGAAATGAGTGACACTCTCGCAACTTTTCCAAAGCGAAAAAATCCGATTTGTCTGTTTTGCCTGCTATTTACACACTGACTCCTAACGTTATTCCTGCTTTGCATCTATTTGGTCATTGGTTAATACTTATTTTCATGGATATTTAACATAATTTAGTCATACGCCCTGGGAGCTGCAGGAAATGGACACACACACCAAAAAATTCGATATTAAAACTGAAAGGATTTGAGGGTGGTGGGTGACGTGCCGCGGGCACCCTGTACGGCAGCCGGTACGGAAGTTATCGGCTTATCGATCACATAAGTTTTGATTTAACTCGTATTTTCGTTGCGTAAAGGAAACCCGTTATTTCTTATTTGAGTTTCTCATAAAGATTTTATTACTTAATACATATTTGCAATTCATTCCATTTAATTCAATATATAAAAAAATTGTCTTGCTTCTTGAAAAAATATATATTGGTTTCCAAACCACTTTTGAAATAATCCATCATATAAGGAACTGCTATCGGGTTCGATATATAAGTAATTCCACATTGTGGGTTCAAGAAAACATTTATTAGTAAGCAAATATACAATGTATAAGAAATGTTGGAGATGTAAGTAATGTAACATTTTCATATCATTTATTTAATATTATAATTTTAAACCTGCTTGCGCAAGCAGGGTTGCGTCGTCGCTAAATTCGGTTTCACGTTATCCGTTGCGGTTTAAGTATTGAATATTTAGAACTCGGGCTAAATTAGGAAATCTCTTTTAGTGCATTGGAGATAATTACACACAGCCGCGATGGTCACTCTGCTGCGGTCACTCTAAACGAACGGAATTGTTTTATCGCGGATTGTCGCGTTATTTCGTTTGTGTCGCGCCTCAATCAAATTCACCTTAAAAAGTAATAAACGAAAAGTAGATTACGATTTCTGGTCGGTGTTATCAAAAATAACGGGATTAAATCGAGACATCACTATCTCTTCCTCCTCTTTCCACTCTGCGCGCGTCGCTTTTTCTACCTGTAGCGCAGTCGCGACAGCTAAAAATTAATAAAAACCGAAAACGAAAAAGAAAAAGTGTAAATTGGATAACAAAACAAAAAATAATTAGAAAGAAAAAGTTTACGATCGATCGTCTGTTTTTTATATAACGACAACAACAAAGCAAACCAGTTATTAAATGTTTTGGTGAATAGTGTGAAACAAATTCTCGGCTCATACACATACATTCCCATAGTTCCTATTCCGGTCCGATCAGGTTCTTTAAATCGCAGATCATAAGAAAATCAATACCCGCAACAATATGCAAAATTAAGCCAAGAGGAGAGTGCTTTTCTGTTTAGAAATCGTGGAGTGTGAAAAAGTGTAGCAGTACAAAAAAGGAAGGGATTATTATAAAAGTTAACAATAATATCCTGGTGTGTAAATAAAAGTGCTTATACATACACACACTCATATACCAAGAAGTTACAAAACAAAGGAGGAAAAAAGCGGCAAGATGAATAAAACCTGTGCGCGATGCCAAAAGGTGGTTTATCCCATCGAGGAGCTCAAGTGTCTGGATAAAGTGAGTTTTCCATTTGAATATATCCTACATATCCTGTTTATCCTAGTCAGATTCTATATAGTTTTCAAGCCGCTCGTTCGTGCACTTGTTGCGGGCGCTAGAGCGAGACGTCTAGCTGGCACATGGCAGTCGGTTCTGCTCTCCCGCTCCCTCTTCCTGATCTGCCCCTCTTATTCCCATTGATCATGCGTGCCTTTTTTCGTTGTTGCTCTGCTTCTTCTGTGTTTATTATCCTATGCTTAATAACCGCAAAAGTTGTTTGGCTGCCTTTCCATTTGCTTCACGGAATTCAAATATTTACTGAAAAATAACGGCGCAGCCTCACGCGTTTCTGTGTGTGTGGGTGTAATAGCACTATTGCACTGTGAAAAGCAAACAGATCATTTGCACTTTTTCGATTTTTGTTTATATTCAAATGAATTTTAAACCTTATTAACGATCGCATTTGAAAAAGACATTTTGCTTATGTTTGTTTGCTTGCTTAGAAAAATGGTCTCATCTTTTTTAAAATCTTAACTAATCTTAAATCTTAAACAAACTCGATATTTTAAACCTGATTTGTTATTTCTTTCTTTTAGATTTAACCAAGTCTATCTTTAAATAATATAACTTAAATTTGATTAAACAAATTTTTAGAAAGTTGTCATGATAATGTTTTTCCTAATGATCAATAATCTTTTTTTCGAGTGTAATTGTGTGCGGGTGGCAACCACAACAAAAATTACTGTTTTCATTGTTTTTTTCGCCAACTCAGGAAATTTCTACAATTGCTATTAATTTAGTGCCGCCGCCGCTTCCGCTGGCAGAATTTTGGGGCTCCCTCTCTAATTATGGCTCGCCCTCTCTTTCTTCCACCGGCGCTATTGCATTTCGGTTTTCGCGATCTTGTGTCTTTCGTACTGCTTTTTTTTTAGTTGCAACTGCTTTTGTTTTTATTTTAGTTGTTGTTGTCGTTGTCTTTTGAAAAAGCAACAAAAGCAAATCCGTTGACCGACCTTGAGCGCATATTTTCGAGACTTGAGACCAGTTTTTTACTGCGTTCTCTAAAATCTGACACAGTGGCATTCGCGAAATTAGCAGCTGGCGAAATATAGAATTTCATATTTAAACGAAACATTTGCTGTAATTATTTTCATTTTAAATAATAACTTTCTTGTATAACTCATTTCGGTTAGTTGGAATTTCATTAATTTCCACGAAATCCTACTTAAGTAAAACTGAACTTTTTTAAATCACATTTTGCAAAATTCTGTTAAATTTATCGTTTTCAAAAATCAAACTTCCTGGGATCATATTGCCTTAAAATTATAATTTTTCTAAGAAAAAATGTATTGACGTTTCAAATTTGTTTAAGTTCATGTGCAAAAAAAAGCCGTTGGCTTTTTATGAATGGTGTATCTTAATGGTAAAGCTCATTCCTTAATATTTTAAGCGTATTCAAAAGAATCGTACAATACAAGGAAATAACTCCAAAAGTTAAGTACATATGTACATATTTACAAACTTAAAATTTTTCAGAATTATAAGTATTCGATCTTTGCCTTCACGATTCAACAAAATACTCCTTTCTAAATTTAAAATGTTTAAATAACATTATCTAAATATAATTACGGGATGTGACCGGAACAAGTTTCAAATTATGCCAGTTTGATAAGCAACATTAAATTCGAATCAAGCTCAATCGGTTTTCATTTTATATAATTAGTTTTCCAACTAAGACGCCAAAGACAGCTGTAAGTGCAGGCAAAGTGGGGCTTTCGTTTCTTATTTTTTCGTGCCCGTGGGCTTATTGGCTTACGCTTAATTCCAGTTTATTTTTATTGAACTTTTGTTTGTTTCTAAGTCTGAGACTTGAGACTACAACTGGAGGCCCCTCTTTTAGTTCCATTTTATTTTTTGCCCTTGGCTTGGGGCTGTCTGTCAATCTGTGTTTATGTTTTGAGGGTCTGTGTTGCTGTTTCGTTGAAATTTGGAAGCTGATAACGCACGATTCGAGACAAACATTTACATTACGAATCGAAACGGTTCGATTCGGCTCTCTCCCCTTTGAAATCGAATTGAATCCATCAACAAATTCCGATTGGCAATCAGCATCGAGAATCAAACAGCGTTGAAACGTGTCAATCCCAAGACCCCTTACCCTCTGCTGTAAAAAACCCCCTCACCCTTTGGCAACAACCACAACCTAATTATAGTCTCGTCTTTCTAGAGTCGTCTCATCTCCTCCTCGCCAGTCAGCATTTTCATTTTCTAATTATAGACAATGGAGTAATGAAGAACTATTTTAGAGTCACAAGACAGACGCACCGAAGTCGGTTATAAAACATTTATGTGCGTCTGCGTGTGTTTTTGCGCCTAATGGAAATGCTGAGACTTGTAAACATGGCATTTGATGAAAGGGGGGTGGTAGGTGGCCTGTAGTTTGAGGAGTATAAGTTTACCTTTACATTAAGTTGCATTAGTTTTCTTGTGTAGTTTCATGTTTAACTTGCGCCTGCCTTTTGTTGCTGCTGCTGCTGCTGCCTGGGGTGTGTCTGCGATTGCGAAATAATTTAAATGCATGCATTTCACAACAGACTATAAAAGTTGAGCAATAGGACGCCATATGAGGTCAGAGGCTTGACAAAATAAATTATTGCTATGCAGAGGGGATCAATCATTTTAGTTTTTTTTTTATTACTGAATGAGAGCTTTACTAATTGAGTGAGTTTTTTGTTGGAATTTTTGTGTTTCAAATGACTGAATTGGCTTGGCTATGATGTTATCTGTATTTCTGAGGAAACTGATTTATCAAAATTTGGATTTAATGGAATAATTTTAAATTTTTAAATAGGAAGTTTTTGAAATGGTATCCTCAATTTTTGAATATTAAAGTAAGAATTTAAAATTGATAGATGCTTACTACTATTTAGTTGTGTTTTGCCTAAAAAGCTTTATGTGAATTAACACTGTACTTGCTTTTTGCAGCAATAAAAATCCCGTGACTAATAAAAGCCTATGATGAGATCAGAAGCCAAGTTTAAGCTATTGTTTTTGCGATGTTTCAATGTAGTTTGCTTATGCCATGACTGTGTAATTTTTTACCATGAAAATTGAACAATAGTATTACTTCATTCAAGGCAAATATTTACTATACATTTCTCCTGAATCACCCCAATGCTAACGACGATAGAATTTTAGAGACTTAGAAGGAGGATTTGCTTTGGCTGCTATCTGCACGTGACACATCCTGATATAGAAATCGATACTCGTGACAGCAATAAACGGGTATTTTATACCAATTATCTCTTATTTCTGTCTTTCTCGTACAGATATAAGTTTATATAGATATAGATAAAAACACACACAGACAGAGAGATTCGCACGCGAATTCGTTTGAAAGAAAATGCCTTTTTAAATGTTCCGTTAAAGTTTTGCGGCTTTTCGCGGCGCATTGCATCGCATCGCATTCGCTGCCGGCGCTTTGTTAATCGATTTTTGATTCTACCAAAAAAAATTAAAAACCAAACCATTCGGAATGGAGAAGTCAAGTTGACTGGTTAGCCTATAAAGTGGGCCTCTGTTCCCGTGCCTATATCCTCTGTGGCTGTCGCTTCTGTTGCCAATTTCATTTATCTCTCAGCTTTATATTTTCCTTCCTGCCGCATTTTGTATTAAAGTTTAAGGGTATATAGGAATTTTGAAATGTCTTAGGTATTTTTTTTTAAACTAAAAAACGATTTTTGTTTGTTTTTTTTATACATATAAATGTGTAGCAAACATAAAACATAAAATCAGTAACAAATTAATAAGTATTTTAAAATATATTGTTTACTCTTCCCATTTCGATCGATATACTCTAAAGTTTTTAGTTCTCCAAGGAAATTCCTGATTGGCAGTTAAGTTTAGTGCTTAAATAGTAGTTTTTTTTTTGGTTATAATGACTTCTGATATCATAAAATCCTTAATAAAGAGTATTTTTCAGTTGCAATTTGATTTTGCCACATTACCAATAGTAGTCATTGTTGCATTTTGGGGTTTATTTTGCACGAAATATGTGAGTTTGACTTTTGCTTTGCGCTTTGTTTGGCTTTGGCCTGACTTTTGGAGCTGTTTTCGATGTTTTTACATCTTTTTTTCAGAGTCACAGCCACGACGAACGATTATTTCATGCTCGCAAGGAAAGTAAATGACCTCTTTGTTGTCATGTTGTCATGGGAAGTTGGTTGGGGGGATCGAGAAAGAGAGCTCTGTGTAGCTCTTTAGCTCTCTAGCTAGCAGGCTATAGGAACGTGCCAGTTTTTGGCCAACCTTTTCTGGCCAATTTCGCAGGGCACGAATCGAGCGTTGAAAGAGGAGGAAAGTAGAGAGCAGAAGTCACACAAAGAGGCAGCGAAGCATCAAAAATAAAAGCGTCGCCGTCCGTTTGACTTCGTTTGCCACTTAACGAGAAGTCAGGCCCCCTTTGGCTTCTGCGCACCTCCGCTCCTGGCTGCTGGCTCCTGGCACATATTTGCACTTGCCTGACCCCGCCAATGACCTCCCTCTCTTTTGGTCGCCCCAATAGGCCATCACTTTTCACTGGGCCATGTTTTAATTTTTGCATCTCTTTCGTGTGACAAATGACTACAGCAACAAACTTCAAAACGTTGAGAAATGAAGGGGGAAATGTTAGGAAAAATCGAGGAAGAAAATGCGCTGAGAAAAAGGAAGTAGTTAGATATTAATTAAAACCTATTTATTTCCCAATATATACTCAAATTTTTAATTCAATCTGTATAAGCTGCAAATTTCAAATTGATTGATCGCTTGCTAAGATTGATCTTAAAATTTTGATCAGAAAATTTTATGCAACACAAAAACTAAACACACAGAAAACTAACTGGTAAATTTGCATTTTGAAAAGATTTTTGTTGAGTCGTCGGGGCTGCCTAGGAGATCAACGTGCTGGGGTTCAGCCACTTGTGCAACATAGCCTTGTTCTGGGCCAATAGGGCGGTGGCCTCCAGATCGCCGCGTTTGAAAAGCCGATCATCGAAATCGAAGAGGGACCTGTGACCTGGAAGTTCGACAACGTTCTTGCAGGATTTCACCTGGCCACGGTTGGGATAAGGTTGCTGTCCAGCCGTTTGTTGAGCCAGGATACGCTGCATTCGCTCATGGTGATAGTCCAAATAGGTGACAACATCAGAGAATTTCGACGAGGAACTCTGCAGATCACTACTCTCTTGTGGGAGTTGATGGGCATCTATAGAAGCAGCCTCTGCTGCCCTCTGCCTTTGCAAGGCCTTCCTAGATCTTCTTGAATTTTTCCACTTCTTACTGCCCGTTGCTGGCGACGAGTTGATCGGGGAGTTGGAACTTCCTTGGGCAGCGCGAGACTGTAGAGGAATTTGTGCCATATTCCACTTCGGGATCACCTGGTGGACAATGTGTGGCTTGGACTGCGTCGGTGGGTTCATTTTCACCCTGGCACCGGGTGAGCTCTTGGGACTTGGCCGTTTAACCGGCTGTTGATTGTTGATCCGCTTAACCCGTGGAGATAGTACCACCTTGATTTTAAGCTTAGACACGGGATGGGATTCTACAGCGGCGGCGTAACTCATGGAATGAGGATGGTTCGGCAACTGGGATGAGGATGTGGTTGGAAGACTGGAAGAAGTTGGCTCCTCGAGCAACATGTAATCGCCCAGGGGTTTACGGCGCACCGGAACGAATTGGTAGGACTCCTTGCCGTTATTACAACCCCTGGAGCAACCACGTCTTCCGGCATTAGCTCCACCGGAATTATTTGCTCTGGAGCTAGCTCCACCAAAGTTTCTTCCTTTGGGCTTACCAGCATCGGTGTTGCCCCCTCTAAAATTGCCTTTGGTATTTTTTCCGTCGGCGTTACCTCCTCCGGTGACTCCGGCTGCTCCATCATTGTTTTGGCAGCAATTCTGGCGCTTCACCACCACCGTCGTGGATATCGGTTTTGGACCCTCCAGTTTAATTGTCGTCTTCGGTTTTATAGCTGTAGATGTTGTGGATGGCTCTGGCTTACATCGGGATATATGGATCGAGGATTACATAGAATCTACTGATGGCGACATTAGACACAGACTTACTTTGGCTTTTCGGTTGAACTGGGATTTCATTTTATTTTTCGAGTCTCCACGATGCGACAGTCACTGATTGAAATTTGATAAATAATTTGACAGACTCGACTGTGTCATCTCTAAAGAAAATCTACCAAAAATTACTAAAAAAATATGGTTATCGATAGATTAGCACAAGGAACTACCATAGAGATTTTGTTAGGTTGGCAACCTTGGTAAACATTTTTTGTGGTTCCCTTAGCATGAGGTTAAGAAATGGTCAATTAGCAGGGGAAACTAAACTATTGCTTATCTATAACTTTGAGTTTTTATCCAATACTTAAACTAACTTTCAAAGATATTCGTTAGCTTGCATTTTTATTGATGCCAAATGGCGGATTGACTGTATTCCTTCTTTTTTTTCTGTGCCACACTCGAAGTCTTTTTCGCTTTCGGAAGCCACGAATGGGCAACAGAAGAAGAAGAAGAATGACAATAGCTTTATGTATTTATTTATATACATTTTCTCTCCACTCTTGACTGGGCCTCTTCACCTCGCTCTTCACTTCACTCAAAACTCGAAACTAAAGTTCACTTTTGCATGACAATCAATTTTTCACTCGGCGGAGGATGGTCGAGGGTCCATAAGCAGGGGGAAGGTGAGGGAAATGCTCGGGGGGAAAAAGGGGAAAATGGGAGTGGGGTGCCTCAATTGAGGCATGAAAATAAAAGTGGTCAAGCAGGCAGGCCAAGAGGAAGGAAGATGCAGCGATAAAAGGGGACAATACTTTGACTTGTCACTCTGTCGCTGCATCGCCCCTTTATTGCAATTTGCTTCCCGTCTTTTATTTCTCATATCTCTTCCAAGTGATCAGTCAGATATACAGATATAGATATGGTAAATTGGATAATTTAAGTTAAAGTTTTGACGGGAAAATAAGTAGAAAAAAAGGAAAGTTCAAGGAAAATGTATAAATAATTTAAAGACAATGTAAAGATGGGCTTTGACAGGCTTATAAACTATTTTATTGTTATTAAAGTTAAATCGTTTTTTTACATTATACGAGTAAATCATTGTTGAAGGAGTGTGTATTTCCCTATTAGAAAAAAACGGGTTGGTTAGTAATTACAAATGTTAGTGTGCAATAAAGATTTGGTATCAATTCAAAGGTTTTTCCTAACTTAAGTTCAATAAGCTTCTGCCAATTAAGGCATTTTAGGGATTTTTACTTAGTTTACTTAGATTAGTGGCTCTTTATAGTCTTCCGATAGACTTCCCTAGATAAGATATAGGAAAAGAAATAAGCTTGAGAAATTGAGCACTGCAATTTATGAAGGTAACCAACCTTGGCTTGCCTTTAATCTGAATCTTAATTATTGTTTTTTTTTCAGCTGCCTGAGAACTATTGTTAGTCGTAACTTTTCTTTCACTCGCAAATTATGCAATTGTCTTTCCTTTGAAGAAAAAGAAGTCCGCTTTTTTGCCACTCACTTTCATTGCTCTTTAATCTTCGAGAGAATCTTCAGTTTATGCTCCCATTTCCAGTCATTGAGACATCGCCTAATTAGACTTCGCTTTCAAGAGTTTCGCTTGCCAATTTTTTTTTCTTTCTTTCTCGCTGAGATGGAAAGCAAATCAAAAGACGTAGAAAAACTGCGACCAAACAGAATTTTCTATGCCTACAAAACTTCAAAGTCAAGATTTCGTTTGGCCAGCTTTTTTCCAGCAACTTGGCGTCGTCTTTTGTGTCCCAAATTGTAAATGTAACAAAAAGTTTTGTCCAATTCGGAAAGTGGAAGTCGTCGTCGTTGAGGTTGTTTGGAAACTTTAAATAGCTTCTGCTGCTGCTGTGGCTGTGGCTTGTATTATTTAAGTTGTTTCTTCTTCCGTTTCCAGGGCTTTCCCTCCAATTAAACGTTTCCCATTGTGGCCCCCTTGTATTGTATAATTAATTTCGATGCTCAAAATTTTGACTAATGACCGAAAAAGAAGAATGGTGGAGAAGATTGAAGAGATTCTAAACAAGTTTTGGGTCAAGCTTTTGATTCTTCTGCAGCTCATTTGGCTTCATTTTCTTGGTTTCCTGTTTGTGTGGATGTCTTTTAATTGTTTTTACCCTCCCCTCTCAATATATATGTATATATATAATATCTTTTGTCTTTTGTTGCTGAAATTATATTCATGTTAATGCGCATTTGCGTTCTGTAGGGGAACTTCCCTCTTTTGTCACTTTTGTAACACAAGACAAGAGCTGGACGCACTCACTTGACTTGAACTCATTGGGAAAAAGACAAGGGAAGAAGAGTGGAAGAATGCATGGGGGACTCTCCTCGAAAGAATTGCTTTGTTTAAATTCAATTGATCTTTATTAACTCGGCCGTGGCGGGGCGACAAGAACCCAGGGAGATAGATCCCAGGGGAGAGATCACTCGAGAGGTCTGCCAACGACTCGTGTAAATTCGAAGGGGGAGCCAGGCCAACAAGTTGAACTCTCCTCTTGTTATTTTTTTTCTTTTTTTTATTATATTATTTCCTTTCTCTTAAGCATTTGCATGACTTTCGTCTTCATCATCCAATTGATTCCCCCGCATTCAAGGTCCCAATGAGGGGGATTCTGTAAATAGGCAGGGTGTTCTATCTTTGGTGCATTTATTGCATCTGTTATGGGGTTTATTTATGGATCGGGAGAAAGGCCAGAAATGTGTAGAAGTTCAAGTGGTGGTTGCTTGACTTTTGAGTTTTCCTGCACTTGAGGATTTTTGGTTTGGCTCCTATATCATGATATATTGAGGTATTAAATGCAGTTTTCCCATATCTAACGGTCTAAAATTTGTAATTTATATCATAACTATACTTTATTATTTTATTTTATTTTTTAAAATAGTTTTATATTTTAGTTAGGCTTTGTTGGAGTCTCTTTCTTTATATATTCTTTTGACATGATTTAAATTTAGTAATAATTTCTATAGATTACTATATTAACACTTCAGTTTAAAGATATCTGATTGACAGTCTGAAGTCGCTTTCAATTTGCCGCTTTCTGAGCTCGTTGCAGTGAAATCTTTTCTATTATTCAACTCTGGCCCACATTTAACCCCAAACCGCATTCTGCTGCCGCTGAACTTGTGTCCCACATTCAAAAGTTTCGCTTGTTCTCGTCTTGTGTGCTAAGAGCCCTCTTAATTAATAATTAAATTACTCCTTTAAGGCTGATGCATATATCATATATCCGTACTGCCTAAGCCGAGTCAACTGATTGGATATAATATCTTTTTTTATTTTACAAACTTTTGCTAATCACATAAGCCCTGGTGCCAGTTGTATTTGTATTTGAATTTGCACTTGCCACTTGGTGGCTTGCAATGTGTGTGGGAATCGCCTATTGTCTGCTTTGCCAGTGAAAATTCAAATAGAGCTCTTAACTGGCGGGTGAAATGGTAGGGAGTGTGTGAAGTTTCTGACGTTTATAAATTAAACAAGCAAAATGCTGAAACGTCAGCAGAACTGAACTGAACTAAACTCCGAAATGAACTGAACTCGGAGAGAGAAGCCAGCGGCGGCATTTCCTATTGACTTTGCTAATTGACTGAACCGAAGGGACAACGAGTGGGGGTAAAAATAGAGGGGAAAATGGCGTGAAAAAGCTAGGGGACTAGGTGAGTTTAGACAGTTTTAACATGTAGAGCTTAGTTGTGACACAGAAAATATGTAGGGGGTGTGTGAGGGCTTAGCAAAATATTAAGGAACATCTATTCTACATTTATTCATACAATTTAACTACTTTTTGAGTGACCACACTGGAGATAAATGAAGGGATTTTAAAAAATGGAGAATGAAAACATTTCAGCCTAAGCAGTAATATCAATCTTTATCTCCTAAACCAAATCTCGCAAAAATTTCAAAACATTCCTTCTTCTAAGAATAAACGTCCAAGTTTTTTAGTTAGTTTTTAAACTCACTAAATCATTCCTTAATCCGATTTAAGCGCCAACATCAAAAATTTTGTACAAGTGGCTGCGGCAATTGGAAATGAAATCTTGAATAGATAATCGAGTTCGGGTCTTTAGCATAGAGTGTCACAAGTGATCTATAACAGCGAGTTTTGTTCACAAATCACTTTCTAATTGGTGTTATCATTTAGCTCTGGCACCATATTCTCTACTGAATTCCCATGGGGTGACCCAAGTCTCGGGCATATGGTAATCGTTAGATGCATATTCAAGACCCTGATGATCCACCGCCTGCACAGATGTCAGGCAAACAAAAGAGGAAACATATATCACCGGAGCGTTGGTAATGCCCAATTTAAATAGAGAAGAGCAAACAGACATTTGATTGCGTAGAAGAGGAGCATTAGGCGGCAGTTTTCCCTCTTCCACTTTGAAAATAGAGAAAAACACACTCACACACACACACTCCCCACGTGAAATCAAAACCCACTTGCAGTTTGCCAGCTGCTGTGTCTTCAGCTTCTGCTGATGACGCTGATGGTGGAACTTCTTTACTCGAGAGTTGGAGTTGCTGTTCCGAGTTGCAAGTTGAAGTTGCCAGTAGTGGGCGGGGGCGAAAATCACACATATAGAAAGATATAGGGGGAATCCGCCTGATGAGGCGGAAGTGAAAGCGACCAAGCAGAATTAAACCGCTTCCTCTCCTTTTACCCACACTCAAAGATTAAGCTTTTGTGCTGCCAAAGCGCCTCTCATATGTGGGGGATACCCTTGATGGTTACTGGGAGTTATAATTTGATCTGTGATTCGGTAACGACTTTTCCAGAGGCAAACAATATTACTGGAAATTCAATTTAGTATCAGTTATTGATTGTATTAAAGATGATTTATTTATACAATTTATACAGCGTAAATACTATTTTAGAAAAGGAACTAAATAATAAAATATTTCTAAATTTGTTTCATGTTGAAAGTACTTGCAATTTTTTACTTTAAACTGATATTAACTTTGGGGTGTGAATGTAATTCCCTGTAAAAGCTTAGATCCCAACCCATTAAAGGGTAATAAAACAGTCTGATGTCTTGGATTTTTGAGTGGGTTTTTATTACATTTTGTTTTGGCAAGCAGTGGCTGCGCCTTAACCCAAAAAAGCCCGTATTTGAGTTCAAGTTTTTGGT